AGAGGTCACCCCACAGACCCTCCCCCATGGGCCTGCCTGAGCAGGTGGAGCCTCCTGAGCCTTCATTCTGACCACTGGCCCTCCTCCTCCTGACCCCTGTCTCCCTCATGGCCCTGAGCTTGCTCCATTTAGTTTCACACTTTCCTTCTGAGCATAGGTTGGTAAACATTAGTTTGATCTGATTCCATGCATTCTTTTTGGTGAAAAATTGGATGATTTCTTGGACCACCTCCTAAGCTTGTTGAGTTCACCCTCACAGTCTTGTAGGCTGAACCTGTGCCCTTTTTTTTTAACTCCAGTCATTAATTAAAGGGAGCTCTTCATGCTAAACCCTTGGAAGTTGAAGAGATCATGAAAAGTTTCGCACTCAATTGTTGCATATAGATTTTTATGCACAAGAGCTTTTTAAGCAGATCTAAATATGATGTTTTTAGAATCAGTTTAGCAGACACTTAAGTGCTTGTCATATACCTAGCATTGTGTGAACTGAGCAGAAATAAAACTTTTTAAAAATCATTCTCCTCCACTTTTAAGCAATTCCTTTGAGTCTAGGATATTTTGTCATGTCGGTCTTATCCAGTATCTAGCACATTACCTGGTATTAACAAAAGCAAATGAATACTAAATAAATAAAAAGAAAAATTTGAACCTGTCGAAATGACATCATCAATGATCTGAAATTAAATGTATGCTCTTTTGGTTTTAAAAAGAAAGTTGTCTTGGCGAGGCATGGTGGCTCATGCCTGTAATCCCAGCACTTTGGGAGGCTGAGATGGGTGGATTGCTTGAACCCCGGAATACAAGACCTGCCTGGGCAGCATAGTGAAACCCCATCTCTACAAAAAATTTAAAAGAAATTAGCCAGGCATGGTGGGGAGCACCTGTAGTCCCAGCTACTCAGGAGGCTAAAGTGGGAGGCTCACTTGAACTGGGAGGTGGAGGTTGCAGTGAGCCAAGATAACACCACTACACTCCAGCCTGGGTGACAGAATGAGACTCTGTCTCAAAAAAAAAAAAAAAAAGATAGAAATTTCTCTCTTCCTGCTGCCATCTTCCCGTGCTGCCACAATGGTTCGTTCACATGAATGTCCTGGCTGATATTCTCAGGAGCATCCACAATGCTAAAAAGGGAGACAAACACCAGGTTCTTATCAAGTCATGCTCCAAGTCATCGTCCAGTTTCTCACTGTGATGACGAAGCATGGTTCCACAGGCGAATCTGAAATCATTGATGATCACAGAGTTGGAAAGATTGTTGTGAACCTTGCAGGCAGGCTAAACAAGTGTGGAGTGATCAGCCCCAGGTTTCATGTGCAACTCAAAGATCTAAAAAAATGGCAGCATAATCTGCTCCCATCTGACCAGTTTGGTTTCATTGTACTGACAACCTCAGCTGGCATTGTGGACCACAAAGAAGCAAGACGAAAACACACAGGAGGGAAAATCCTGGGATTCTTTTTCTAGGGATGTAATACATACTTACAAATAAAATGCATCAAGGGGAAACAAAAAAGAAATTTGTTTTGGATTGAACTTGTACGAAAAAAGAAATTAAGAAATTTATAAGTTATGAGGTATAATTTTTGTGTGTTTTAGATATTTTCAAGACTTCTGTTCTTTGGTTTCTTTGGCTGATTACGTATAAATCAATTAAAATTATTTATGCTTAAATTTGCATGTTAGATTATTTCTAAATTACTAAATTTGATTTATTTTCCATCATACCTATCACTAGTTGAATTTACGGCATATATTTGTATATTCGCTTGTTTACTGCTTGTCTCTTTCTGCCAATAGAAAAAATTCTAAGAGGAAGGGGACCATTTCCAGGTTTTATTCACAGATATGTTAGAAGCAATTATGAGTTTTAATGGAAAGAAAACTTCTTAATGGGCAGTGAATTTAGCTTTTATTTTAATATTTCATACACATTTCTAAATTATAAAATTTTATCTTTATTTTATGACATATTTTCAATCTAATAACCGTGTTCACTTAAGAAATAAAGCCAATTCACCAGATCTACAGTATTTATGGATATTATTTTGTTTTAATAAGGTGGTTCAGCTGTAGAGGAACTTCACTAGGCTTCAAGGCCTGATGAGCCTATTTATAAATTCACATTACAATTTAACAAGTAATTTTAGAAAATCCATTACTCAGCTACTGCGAAGTTTAATTAAGATGGCTTAAAATAAGATTATATAGGCTTATTAAACTCAATTTTTGTTTACATTTATATTATAAATGTGGGATTATTTTTAATAACTATAAATGTGCAATGAATGTATATGTTTTCCCACTAAATAGCTAGGCAAGCCATAGGAATTGATACCAATTGGTAGGATTTGACAATCACAGAAAACCTTCAATCATTTCCCAACACATTCACCTCTCTCTTTGGTGAATTCCTCTCACTTTTCTTGCTCAAATGCTTTAATTTCTTTCTTAAGCACTCAATTCTGAAGTGCTTTGAGAATCTAAGAAAGATGTGGCAGGACTCCATGTTAGTATCTTTTGTCTTGTTCTACTAGTTTCCCTTTATCACCCTCACAATTTCTTTTCTAACTATCACTTAATGCTTCAGGTGTCATTTGTATCAAGCTATTTGTAATGTACGTCTTGACCTCTTCATACAACGTCATGTTTGGGGGACCTACGGGAAGAAGTTCACATACAGTACATCATTAAAAAAGGGGGGTAAGCTTCTACCCATAAAGCTCTCAAGGTTTATTATGCCATTTATTTAATTCCTTCTAATCTAATGGTGAAATTCTAGCCTATCATGTGTCTATTATTCTGCAGGAAAAGGAAAGCTGGCTATGTAACAAAGATGGAGCATTGCAGTAGCCATTTGAGTAAGACTTAATAGACAATAGAGAAAAATTGAGATAGGAAAGGCTGCAAGAAATAAAGATAAGACTATAAACAGTTCTTCTTGTCAATAAGCTTTACTTAGCAGATGCCTAGCGTCAGCCTGTGCCTTTGTCACTCATGTAACAGATGTTAAATGACAACAAAAATGTGCCAGCCCCAGTGGAGAGGGTGGGGTGAAAAATGGATGGAGTCATGCTTGAAAATTAAGCTTTCTCTTTCAGGAGTCTAGGATATGATTTTGTCAGTTCGTCATTAAAGTATAGTACAGGTTCATTTCTATTTAAGTGTAAAAGCTAATACTATAGTTACAGACTCTGGAGTCATTAAAAAATTTTCTCCAACCCTTTCTGCTTGATCCAAATCAAATCTAATGCTGTGTGAGTTGCTGGTATAAATTCAAAAATCCTGTTTTGTATTAGAAGATGGAGAAAATATAGTTTCTAGCCCATAGTTTACTGCTGTTCTTGAAATTTAATTCAGATATGCATGTATTCTTTCTATTCTAATGGGGGCACCTGAGCAGAATTTCACCAGCTCTTTTCTGTCATAGTGTAATACCTCAATTTATAATTTAAAGACAGAAAAATAAAGAAAAAAATTAAGACAAACATTTAAGAGACATGTTCATGGACTGAGTTTTCTAGGTAAGGGAGTCCACTAGGATTAGAGAAAAAGTTCTCCCTTATTGAGCATTCAAGCAGGAATAAGAGCTCACTGAAGCTAGGAAGAAAATAGAAGCACTAACACTTGTGATAAATAGTTCTGATTATTATTATGACTAAATGAAAGTAAAATGAAAGTTGACATTTCTCAATTTTACATTTAAGAACTAAAGATTTACCAATGAATAAAGATAAAGGTCTAGTAGGTTTTATAAGCCTGGTATTAAAAAAATTACTCTCATTGACAGATGAAATTGATCTGGCATTTCACAAAGAAGGTAAATGGATCTTTATAAATGGTTTTCTTCTCCTCTTACAAGACACTTCAACTATTTAAATAATTTAAAAGTTATTTCTCATGGAAATAGAATCAATTTTCTATAGGCCTGAAGCACATTAATGAGTATTCTGAATTTCCTTCCCTCCAGCCAAGTGATAAGTCACCACAAAGAACCCCTGAAAGCTATTACATTGTAGAAAATACAATTTTCTCCTTGACAAAGAATAGTTACTGGTTGCTGCTAAATTTAACATAGAAAATACCAAGTTACTGTGGCTATGCTATGCATAGGAAAAACTCTTCTGTGATGGGCAGCTGGTAACACTCACAGAAAGCTTAAGCTCCTGTCCCATTTCCATTCATGAGTATTTGTTTTCGCAGTCTTGTCTAAGCCATGCCTCCTATGACATTTTTCATCCCAGATACTTTGCAGAAGTTTTCATTTTTGTTTTGAGTTTTACTCATTGCAACTGGTATTACAAAAAAAAATTACTCTGAATATAGTTTTCCCAATAAATAAGATCTGGACAATTCAACATTAATTCACTATTACCAGCACATGGGCACTTAAGGTAAACTTCCTGCCACCATTTTGAGCATCAGGGGTCTGAGTGAAATGAAAGTATAGACTTTCACATTTACAGATAATGGTAGTTTCAAAAATTATACAAAGAAAATATTAATAATTATATTCAATCATAGTTATCAACTCTAAAATCGTTCTAACTAAGGTTTCTCTCTCTTTATGGTCAATATTAACTTTGCCTCCTATGGTCTATTATACATTTAATAGTTTTATTATCCCTGATGATTAACAATATCTTTCTGGTACATCAGAAGTCCCCCCTCTCCAATTCTTAACAGCCAGCCACTCTCTGTTCAATATTATAGTAGGTCTTGACTGGCAGCATATCCTTGAAATTATTTCTCTATTTGGTTTCAGTAGCAAAGATATGGTGATCTAGATTTGAAGAAAAAAAATCAACACCAAAACCCCAAAGCAGGTCTGAAACCCTCATTTTAAGAGACAGCAATTGATGTTTGTATCCTATGTATAGACTAACATAATTTTCATAAAAAATTACTAAAAGGGATTTCATAAAAACCACTTGGGTTTATTTTCCCTTTACCTTTTAATGACTAGTAATATAGAATCTCAGCAGACAGCTAGCTCATCTCACCTTCCTGCAGGGCTAGAGCCACTATCTTCACTTTCCCATTGGTCATTTTTGCTTCTTGGAATTGGAGGCTGTAGCATTTCAGCGGCGAGGGGATCAGCATCATTTTCTTCTCTACCAATCCATTCTCCAATCACACGGGGCCTCAGAATAGAAGAATTAAATGCCACTGTTTCCTGAAGAGAAGAAAAGAATATGCTGTCTTAGATGACTTTTTTCTTATTAACAGGACAACAGGGAAACAAAGTTGCCTAGAGATTTGACTGTCAAATGCTTTTTGTCTTTCTGAATTGAAATAAAACTTCAGTTTCCTCCAACTCTACTAGATAGTTTGTTCTATGTGATTTATGCTAATTCCTGAGGTCACTGTGATAAAGGACCCAGGAGTGAAATCTTTGCTTTGAATTTCGAAGGCTGCATGTGTGCTCTCAGGAAAGAGGTGTGGGATGAGCATTCAAGGCAGAAGGAAGAGTGTGTTGTAAACAGGGTGGCCCACATAGGGAGAGAGCTTGGTGTCACTGCTGGGAAACAGTAAATAATGGCCCAGGTGGAAACTGGGTTAGGGTCAGGGGACAGGGACAAGAAGAGATAGGGCTCGAAGGGCGTATTGCTTCCAATTGCAAAGCATTTTAGACATTTCGGGATCCAGTAGAAATTCGAAACAGGGCAATATCAATGGCAGATATATTATACTAATTCAACAAATGTTAGTAATCTGTTTTCATAGACTAGGATACGATACAGCTATTAAAATGCTACTGTAGCAGAATACAGAATACACGTAATTGCTAGCGATTTTTTGTTATGTGAAAAAAGGACAAGTTAAAAAGCAATACTCATAGTATAATCTAGTTTTTGTTTAAAAAATTCATATGAGTGTATATCAGTTTCTCGTTCACTAATTCATTCATTTCTTCATTCTCTAACATTTATTAAGACTTGCTACAGGCAAAGAACTGCTTGCTTGCTGAGGAAAACAATGGTGAATAAGATCACAATGTAATAGTGCCTTTATCTGAATGAAGGAACTACAGGTGATTTTAGTTTCTTCTTTTTGCATTGCAACATCATTTCTATATTCTACAGTAAATATGAGAAAATATATTTTTAATGCCTCTTCAGCTGAAAAATATAGGCCTTGCTTAAATATGTTTAGTGATAAATTTTACTATTACAATAGTCTTGAACAGTTCTTTAAAAATTCAGACGGTGGGCCGGGCGTGGTGGCTCACGCCTGTAATCCCAGCACTTTGGGAGGCGTCAGGAGATGGAGACCATCCTGGCTAACACGGTGAAACCCCATCTCTACTAAAAAAAAAAAAAAAAAAAAAAAAAATGAGCCAGGCGTGGTGGCAGGTGCCTGTAGTACCAGCTACTCAGGAGGCTGAGGCAGGAGAATGATGTGAACCTGGGAGGCGGAGCTTGCAGTGAGCCGAGATCATGCCCCTGCACTCCAGCCTGGGCAACAGAGCAAGACTCTGTCTTAAAAATAAAAATAAAATAAAAAAATAAAAAAACATTACAAATTCAGATGGTGTTCTGAGTCTTCAGACTTCACAACATATTCTTCATTTCAGTACAGAATATAATGCAATATAATCTAATAATAATACAATATAATATATAATCAACATACAAATATAATACCAAAAGCAACACATGAAATACGATTTAGGACATATTTGATAAGCATTTCTCCAAGTAATAGCAAGTGACAGAAAGGAACTAGATATCTTAATTTTAATCCAACCTACATGAAAATATAGCAGATACATTTTAGAACCAGTGTTTGTAAAACTTAGCAGGTAATCTGAACTCTTTCTATACTTACATTCCCCACATCAGAAAATTAAAGCACTACAATGGATTTCAGCTGTAAAATAGTGCAATCAAATGAATGTTTTCAAAAAATCAGAAGGGCATGTGCATTTGCCATAATTTAATATTATTTGAAGTACAGAAATTAAAATTAACAATACTGTTCAATTTTAAATGTATATTTACTTTTAAAAGCAGATGATTGTGAAGACATGTTTTTGAATTTAAAAATCTATAAACAGATTTACAACTTCAGAATACTTTTCCATCTGTGAGACTTTACAATGTTACTTATTTCTTGAATTTCATTTTCTCCAATTATAAAATGGGGCTGATAAGAATTATAAAGCCTATTGTATCAAATGAATTAGTAAATAACATAGTTAAACCAAAAATTCTTCCCCCTCTACCCCCCGGTGAAAGACCATTTTTTAAAATTTGTTTTGCTTTAATTTTCAAACCCTCAGGACCAATATTTTCATAAAAAACGATGAAAACCAATAATCATAAACAACAATCTTTACAAAACAAAGTCATATAAAACATAAGCCAAGGGTTTTAAACTTGTTTTCATTCAACAAATATCGGATTGCTACAAAAGTCACTAAATACTCACTCTCAATTTCTATACTTCTTTTATTGGAGAATAGCAAAAGTAATTTAACAGGCTCTGCGTTGTGGGCTTTTAAAATAGAATTGCTGTGTGTCACTGTGTATTGAATGTTGTGTGTGGATGTATTCTCAGTGAGCTGACGTCTCTGAGAAAAAAACTATTACATATACACACATATTTGTGTATTTGTGATTTAATTTTCATAACTTTTCAAAAGTAATAAAGGTGTGTTCTTACATCATGCATCTGCATTACAGTTGCATGATGTAAGTGCCCAAGTTTATGTTTATGTTTAAAATTAAGTCAGCAATGGGCACTATTACTTTAAATGTCAAGGTCTCATACAAAAAGACCAAAGAAAGCTAAAGAATCCGATACTTCAAACAATCACTTATATTAAATGGGAAAGCTAAGCCTTAGATCTGCATCTTTTAATTCTTACTTTAATATGCTTGATCATAGTTTTACAATAAATGCATACCAGAAATGACTCACACAATTTTTTTCATTTTGAAGCACATTTTATCATCGTACAATGTATGAGAAAAGAATAAAACCAGACCCTTGATTGCCACTGTTCTTTAAATCACAATTTATGTAACATATTCCCCTGTATCTACTACTTTTTTTTTGCATACTTACAATTTTTTTTTTTTTTTTTGAGACGGAGTCTTGCTCTGTCGCCGGCTGGAGTGCAGTGGCGCGATCTTGGCTCACTGCAACCTCTGCCTCCCAGATTCAAGTGATTCCCTTGCCTCGGCCTCCCAAATAGCTGGGACTACAGGTGTGCACCACCATGCCCAGCTAATTTTTGTATTTTTAGTAGAGATGGGCTTTCACCATGTTGGCCAGGATGGTCTCGATCTCTTGACCTTGTGATCCACCCACTTTGGCCTCCCAAAGTGCTGGGATTACTTTCGTGAACCACCGAGCCCGGCCACAAATTTTAATGCTAAATCAAAAGTCAACAACAGAATGTTCATTAAATCTACCTTGGACTTTGAGTTTGGAGAGTTGGCATCTTTTTCTGGCTTAATATACTAGAGGCTGTCTGCTATTTAAGGCCTTAAAGGGAGGGTCAGGGGAAGCACATTGAATGTATTTAGTCTATGATCCATATTCTAAAGGTTTTTCATTGCTATTCTGTTTATTTTGAGGGAAAAGATACAAACATGGAAAGTACAAAATAAGATTATATATAAATGTATATATATATAAATGGCCCCACATGTGTGTTTTGTAATTAAATATACTAGTTCAGAGAAGAGGAAGCTGAAGCTCAACATGGACCAGATTCAGCAGTAGTAATCTCACCGAGGGACATGACCAAACTTCAATATAAATTGTGCTTTCTTCCTTTTTTAAATTTTGGATTCAGGAGGTGTACATGTAGGGTTGTTTCATGGGTATATTGGGTGATGCTGAGGTTTGGGACACAGATAAACCATAAAATTCTGTGTATAAGCCAGATACAATTATTTACGAGTGTGGACTGTATTCAAATCATTTCTATATATTTGATGTATCACTGTGGAACGGACAAATTGAGTAAGAATAGATACATGGTAGTCAATAAGGGCAGAGTAACATAACAGGGAATTGACAGTGCAGTTTTTATCCTATAAAGTTTCATTTTATAGATATTATATTTAAAAGGTTGAATAATTAATTCAATGTTATTAATCTCATTTACATATGGGGCAGAATTGGGCTTGGAGATTTGTCTAACTATAGGCTCAAAGTAGATGGGACTTGAAACACAGAAATGAACAAAGAAATTGACCACTGGAACAAAAGAAATAGATGAGTTTAGGCACTGTAAGCCAAAGAGTGAAAAAGGTTTTAGAGTTGGGTATGATCAGAAAGTTGAGAGCAGTACAGAATCCGAACTAACTCCTTGGTTGCTTACTAGGAAATCAAATGCAATGGTAGATGTATTGCTATTGAAAAGTAGAGCACAGAGAGAGAATAAATGGTGTGATATTCAGGATGTTTAACTCCACCTGGCATAGAAATTTAGTAAGAAATAGCTGACAAGCAAAGCAATAACAAGAGCTGCAAACAAGAGTCAGAGGAGTTAGGAAGTGAATCTTTTACAGGTGAAAAATGGGGCTCTACTATTTTTATTTTTCTAAATTCACAGAGCTCTTTATATTCCTCCGATTCTGATGTTGATGAAAAATTGTTAGCAAAGAGCACTTTCTCCTTTTAAAAATGTATATATATCTGAAAAAAATTGAATATAGCCTTTTTAAACATAGTAGATCAAAGTAGTAGAGTTTTGGTTATATTATTTATATTTGCCTAAGCTAAGTAAACATCCTTCCATAGATCTTTATGAAAGGGTTTTAGTGAAGAGAGCAGTTCTAAACACTTCATATAATACAGAAAATCCATGGCAAAAGTAATTTAAAAATGCAAATGACTTAAAAATTATTTGAAAATATTTTAAATACATAGGTAAAAAACATTTAAAATTTCAGAGATAAACTTTTAAAATCCTTATTATTCTTTAGTAATGTAAAAATACATGTTCCTTTGCCCTTTCAAGTATAGAGGTCCCTAGGTTTTGAGGTTCTTAAGCAAGTCAGCATAACTTTAATAAGAAAAGCAGGCAAGACGTGGATTATAGGTAGATTACACACCTGTAATCCTAACACTTTGGAAGGCCCAGGCAGGTGGATCACTTGAGGTCAGGAGTTTGAGACCAGACTGACCAACACTGTGAAATCCCATCTCTACTAA